AAAATTATCACCTATTGTGGAAACCATTGCAAAAGCTATTAGCCTAAATTTAAAATTAAGACATCCCACTTACCAAAAGTTATTAAAAAATATGAAACTCCCTAAGCCTGTGTTAGATTGCCACAGATGGCATTCAACCCATGATATGTTAGAAAGGCTGATTTTACTAAAACCCAATATCGAAGATTTTTTTACAGAGCAATCTGATTATTTATTGACTGAAGATTGGAAAGAGATAATAACGATTGTTGAAATTTTAAAACCGCTAAAAATCGCAACCAAACAATTCCAATCTGAACAGTTAACACTGACAGATTTTTATGCAGCATGGTTAAGATGCTGCATCGAACTGGAAAAAAATCCAAACCATTATGCTCAATTACTATATTCTTGTCTTAAGAACAGAGAAGAAAGGTTTATAAAGAACGAAATTCTCTTAGCTGCCATATACCTGGACCCAAGATACAAAGTTAATTAAAAGCTTAGTAAATTAATTATTTTAGATTTATATTAAAATTGTTATTTTATGAAATATTTAAATATAAACAATATAAATCCTTAAATATTACAGGTATTACTTAGTGATGATGATAAGATTTGTGCGAAAAAACATCTTGTCAATTTATGGAGACGAATTAAAAGCTTAACAACGCCGATTTTATCTGATGATATTAGTTCCGATGAAGTTATTGAACAAGAAGATGATTTAGAGAAATTGATACAACTTAAAGAAAGGCAGGAGAAAATACATAAAAGAGGGCCAACGATTGCTGAGAAAAGTATTGGAACAATAATTACTGGATTTAGCGATTATAAAAGATTAGATAAGAAGGAAAATATTTTGCATTTTTGGGAGTCTGCTAAGCTGGAACACCCTGAATTATATATTTTATCTAAAATCTTATTTGCTGTTCCTGCAACCCAAGTTAATTTTTCATATTTTCACATATAAATACATTTAGCATAGGTTAGCGTTGAAAGATCTTTTTCACATTTGAAATTCATTCTTTCACCACATAGATCGAGGATGAGTGAACAACTCTTGGAAGATATTATGCTAATACGTCTAAATAAAATTTTTAAAATTGATACATGACTATATGCTTTGTATTTTTAACTATATTTGTCCATAAATAAAATAAAAAATTTATTTTTTATATCAAATTTATGTTTAGTTTTTTATTATGATTTAAATATAGAATTTTTTTTATCAACTCAAAAATTCTTGAACCCGAACCAAACCCGGGTTCAAAAATATTTCCCTGAACCGAACCCGAACCGAACCCACTTTTTTTTTATACCCCGAACCGAACCCGGGCAAAAATTTTGTCGGGTTCGCATCCCTGACTAAGAGCTTCATTGAATTTTTTTCCCCACTTAAAATTCTCAACTTTTTTAACCAAAATTCGACATTGACATATAATTTATCCTGATAGCCTTTAATATTGTCAAAGCAAAACTGAGATATCTTTAAATACACTGAGCCTACCCCATATCCGGGAGGTACTTTTACCTCAATATTATCCAGAAAAAATTAAAACACTAAAAAAAAATTAAAAAAACATATTTCTTTTAGTTAATTTGAATAATTTTATTAAAAAATTTATTAATAAATTAAATGAAATGAAATGAGTCGGATTATAATAATTAATAATTATTACTTTAATAATAAAAAACGGTAATTTCATATTCTTCCAATCGCAACTTCTACCATCGGACTGTTATCTCCTATCTTAGTTTTTAAAAATATTAGCTCACATAATTAAATTAACAATTGAACCTAGTGAATTCTTATTCCTTAGGCAGAATATACAAATAAATATTTTAACTTGTCCCTTTTAGGGACTCAAATTATGTTTTTCTTATATTGGTTTGAAATATTTTTATTGTTTTTAATTGTTTTATATAGCTTCGTGTAGGGGAGACCGGGTTTTTTAATGAGCCGAGGGTCTGGGCCTACTTTTCAGAGGAACATATGAGCTTTATTTTTAAAATTATGAATATGGTAAGAAATCATATTATATAAAGAAAAAACTAACAAATGGTGAAATCATTAATATATTTAATAAAAATCTATTTTTGCTACCCGGAGAAAATAAACTTAGGTTATGCAACAGTAAAACATATAAATCAAGATTAATAAAACAACAAGATTTTAAATTGTCTACATCAAGATAATTATTCAAGAAAGAGCAATTATAAAATTATCTAATAAATAAACTAAAATGTTCTTTGCCCCACGTTAATGCGTTTTTGAGCATCTGAATGCAATTTTTACCCATTCTTTATTTGTTTAAATTGTCAATAAATTGCCAACAACTTTTTATAATTATTTTCCCAGCTCAATATAATTATTTTCCCAGCTTGAAGCGTCTCGTGGGAAAGCTCATCTTCCCCGGGTGTAGCACATCTTTTCCCTTAAAAAATTATAGGGAAAAATTAGTACTGTTAATAAGCATTTTTATGTATAGCATAAAAGTAAATAAATGGAATAAAATGAGATATTATTTATTCAATATTATCAAGTAGTTTCAATTTTTATGACGTTTGCCTTTTAGGGCTCGCTTGCTCCCCGGTCTTCCCTAATGATTTTTAGTTTTATAGAACTTTATATATTTTTATATATTAGAAACAAAGTAATATTTTAAAGTAAAAGTTTTAAATTTAAAGAAAAAATATCCAAATTTAATATACTATAAAAATATAATTGAGAACTTAATTAATCGAGCATAAAAATAAATTTGACCTGCAAAATTTGCAATTTACCTAGAATAATTTTGAAAATTAATTAATAACTTGCCAAAATAAAAACTTCAAAATTAATTAATAACCAGCCAAACATTTAAAATACGTACCAAATGATTTGTATACTGCCCATCTAAATAATTATTGTTACCGCCCATTTCTTATTGACACTGCTCGAATAATTTGTTGTTTATAGGAATATCGAAAAATTATTCGTGGTCTATTTTAATTTACGAATACGTATCAGAATTATTGGTAGATATTCGAATTATTCTTTAATATACTCGAAGGGCATGCCACATATACTCGTCTTTATATAATATTTATAATTTTATCTTAATTGTAATAAACAGAAGCCTTGAGTAAAATTTGATAAAATATTATACATATAATGAGAAACTTTATTGGTATATAAATATTTTATTCTTTATTATAATTTGAATTTTATGTTTGAAAAATTTAAAAGTTTTACTCATTAGGGATCTGTACCGAACCTCTGGAAATTTTACAATCGGGTCAATGATTGGATTAAAATATATTTCATTTCCAACACCAAATAAAATAATTTTTAAATTGTAAGAAAAGGAAATCACATTAAGATCCAAGTGAAACAATATATAACATATTAGGATACTTACGAATACTTTGTAGGAGAGACCAACCAAGTCAAGTAAGGTGAATGTCTATAAATTTTTAATCTCAAAGGTTGATTGTTTAAATTTGATCAAAAGATGTATATCTAGTGCTGTTAAACGACTCGTTTTGAGCCGAATCTTAAAAACGGCTAACTTAATATTTTAGCCAAAAAAATATTGCCTAAGCCACGAGATACCGCTGATAGATGCCCAAACCTTTGTTTAGAGATCTGCAAAGTTAGACCCGACTCGTACCCGGCCCGAGTCCGACTCGGCCCGAATTTGAAATAATCGGGTTCGGGCCGGGCCTAATATTTTTAAAAAAAATTCGGGCCGGGTCGGGTCGGACTTTGGAAATTTTTAAATATATCGAAATTTATCAATTTTATGAATTTTTTATGTAAATAAAATATTTTGATTTTATTTATTGAAATTAAACGCCATATAACATGTCTTTTATTTTGAGTAATTATAAAAATTAATTTCTATATTTAAATAAATTCAGGCGGGGCCATTTTATCGATTATTCTAGTGATTGTTCTATAGATAAAACCCTGTGATGACGTTACTCCTAATAATACCAAAAACTCTGATGTAATCTTCGGAACAGCTAATGAGTTATAGCTACTCACTATCGAATCATGTTAGAATAGCAGATACTTCTGCCACAGGGATGACGCACGCCATTCATATATAATAGAAATGGAAGAGGGGTAGGAGGTAATAGGAGTGAAAGGAAGGTAAAAGAAATTTTCTAAGCTAATTGATGAATTAAATTTCCCTTTTTACTAAAATATATTTAAGGGGTAAGTAAATAAGTTGTTTTTCTAAATTAAATTTTTTGCCATCTCACCCCAAAGGGCTTGCCACCTAACGTAGGCCATTGGTAATTAAAAAAGCACAACTTTTACTTATTTCTAATTAGGGTTCATAGTATAAAAGGTTTTTAATTTTTAAATAATGAAGCGGCTTTACAAAATAAAAATATTATAAAAGAGCAAAACACCTGCCATATAATCCCGGTCTACTAAAATTTATTTATCAAGTTCAATCCGTTGCAAAAATTAAAAGATTCATTTAAATTTTATTATAACTTTTGGTTATAATATAGACTTTATCTCTCCTTAGTTGATTTGATTTGTACATATAAGAAGAATAATAAATAAGAAATAAATAATTAATTTTTATTTTGAAATCACAAATTTAAAAGATTTTAACGAACGACGTAATTAGTCTGAGCAAATTTGGAATGTATTTATACTAAAAACATATCTTCACAGTAGCGCGGGGCGCACAGAGGCTAAAGCTCTCTTGAAAATTTGAAGAGCCCCCTAAAAATTTTTGTAATTTTTTTTTAAAAAAAAAGTGATCATTTTGAAATTGTTAGCTAAAAAAGGAAGGTCATTTCAAAAAAATTGAGAAATTTTTTCAAAATTAATTTTTGAGTTCCTTGAGATTGTAAAAACTAGTGATGCCACTGCCTTAATACCAAATTTCAGCAATGGTCAAAAATTATTATTATATTTGTATACTTAAGTCAAGCAAAAAAACAAACAAGTGGTAAATTCAATAGAAATCATTTACTATATAAAATTTTAGGAATAAATCAATAAATAGAAATTATAATAAAAGCTTATTAGTTTATTGTATTTATATTTGTATATATGGAATGTTTATAATAATTTTCTTTATAATTCAAGTTATATATGGAACAATAAAACTAAATATATCTATTATATCCCACCGAATTGGGTATTTCTAGTAATAATTTAATTTTATACGGAAAAATAAGGCTATATCAATTGCTAACAGTGCTTTCAAAAATGGAAATAGGTTATTTCAAATATTATACTTTTAAAATATAAATTAAGAGCGAGCAAATAATTTACAACTCATAGGATAAAAACAATATAGGCCCAATGAAGTTTAAGCGATATTAAAACCCCCCCAAAAAATATAATTTGAATTATTTAAAAGTGAGACAAATTTGTGAAGATCAAATTTATAAAACATATATATAAGAAAAATAAAATGTAAATAATTATTTCTGGGAATCTATATAGCAGATAGACTTCTTTGAGTGTAAGATGCCTTTTCCTAAAATTTTTTAATTAATTTTTTTAATATAAATAGATAATACAAAAATTAAGTTATACATACCTCCGAAGTATCCGAAACCAAATAGGTGTTAGCAAAGCTTCCAGTCCCAAAATCGGTGTAAGCTACTATCTCGGAAGGTGGTCTGTTTTGACCGTTGCTATTATTAGACCAGATCTTTTAGAAAAAAAAATATAATAAGAGAGTATTTAAAAGTTTTGATAATTTTTAATTTGGTGCCACTTGATCATAATGACATTTTATCACGTGATTTAACCAGACGAAGTTTGTCAAGTTGTGATAGACCATATATATTTACCTTTAAAGATTTTCCTGATCTCAAAATAGTATTCGGAGGAAAGTTGAATACTATTTCCGGTCCATCATCCACTTTACGCCTAATTGACCATCCAGATAAATTTTGATCCTATAAATATAAAATATTTTCGTGATAAATAGTTGGAATAGATGGAAATAAAATTCAAACTTTAAGTCGTGATCCATTTTCTAAGATGATGTATTTACCTTCTGGATCTATTTCAGTAAAAGCAATATTACCCTTTGCACTACGTTGAACATTCGTTTTGGTGGTGCTTTCTTTTTGAACCATACGACTACTGTAATATCTTTCTTGACCTTAAATCATAGAGATTATAGTTTATGCCAAATATCTTATAGTTTCATAATATTAAAATATTAAATCTACGCTTATTTATTACTGATTAAAAATTCCTTTGCGAAGAGCGTAGCATCAGATATATAAAAATCCCAAATAAAGTAGTATAGTACTATAAATGAAAAATTAATACAATCAAAAAGTAAACTATCTTATAAGGAATGCGTTATCTATAAAAAACTGTCCTAACACATTTGCATTATCAATATCGCGATAAAATTTTAAATTATTATTATATAATCATAACCAAAAATAACAAGTAACAATATTTAATTTTAATAATGAAAAAACATTGTTGTAATAAGTCAAAAATAATATTTTAATAAAAATAATTATTTCCCTTATAAATTTCCATTTTATTATTTTATATGTATGAATATTTACCCCCGTATCTTCCACCTCCAGAGGATCTGCCAGAAAGAGTATCAAAATTAACCTCATCGATAATTTGTTGAACAGCGGCTACTTTATCGGTTGCCTCTCGAATCCTATTTATAACGGGAAAAATAATTAGAAGACAAATCAATTTAGCAAATAATTTTATAAGTTACGAAAGCTTAAAATCAAGCTTCATTCCATGTTATAAATTACGGTATAAAGATCATGCGTCGATGTTGAGGGTTTTAACAATAATTGACAAAATTTATTTTATTGCATTAGCTCTATGCATGAAGTGGTAAAAAAAATTTACGCAGTAAACATTGATCCAAACACATAGTAATAAAATAATCTTTCATATTACTTAGATTTTTCAGTGATCATTGAACTTGCTATAGCAAAGTCTATAGGTCTTAACATATTTTAAAAGTATTGATTTGTAAAAAAAATGATAAGCATAAATGTCGTTTTTCAATATATAACGCATTTGAAGATTAAAGAGATTGCCTTGTAGGTAAACATTAGTCATACTCTGACTAGATACTAGAATATGTAAAGAGGGAATGGACATCTGTTATAAATTAAAAATGATTATACTAACACTACTTACCTATTCTAATTTTAATATAATTAATTGATATCCCGTACATAATATATCTAAAAAATAATATAATTAAATTGTTTAATACTATTTCCTCAAATTTATATTACTAACGTGACAGATCAAGGTGAAGATAATTATAATGATATGAATAATATGATATTATATATGTATATCGTGAGCGTTTAAGTATAAAATAAAATTTTATTGTTTTATTTTTTTTGTATATATATATATATATATATACATTTATATATAACTGACATTGAAAAGGCCAAGGATATCGTTTTATTAATTTTAACAAAAAATGTTTTTTTATATTACTCTGAAAGAAATATATTAGTTTGTTAAAAAAAATTAAATTTTCAAGTGGGCATAACTCAACATGATTTTAATCAATTTTAAAAATCTTCATTAATATATATATAAAATAAACATTTTAAAGAAATATATCCTTTATAGTTATATTTGATTTTAAAATAGACCATTTAACTTATAATAGATTTTAAATTGGTATCCTAAACATTGATTACATAACGACTAGTCATTTAATAGAGATTAAGCGTAAGTAAATGCTTTTTAGTCATAAAACATTTTACCTAGTTTCTTCCTCTTCTAACAATCTTCTGTAGACTTGAATTTCCCTCTCAAGGGATAATTTGTGGTCAAGCATCTCTCTTAATTCTTCCATCTGGCTTTCCAGCTTGGCTCTCAATTCGTCAAGAGACCTGTCTCTAGAAAGCAGAATATCCCTATGATGTTGACTATCACTCTGGAACATGGTTTCTAGCTCTCTAAGCCTTTCTGACAAATGGCCATTCTAAAAAAAAATTAATTTGCATTAGATTATTAATTATCATTTTAATTTATTATACTCCTTTAAAAAATAAGTATACTGTATAATTCAATACCTCTGTTCTCAGAGTTAAAAGTTCCTTATTAAGCTCAGTGACTTTATCTCTAGCTTTTTTGGAGTCTTCTTTGGCAGTCATTTCTTCTTGAGCTTTACGGTTTGCCACCACAATAATTTCTTGCATCTATTTATTATAAAAGATATTAACATGAAATTTCATTGATTCATATTTGATTAATCATAATTAATCGTATAAGAAAAACTTTAGTGTGATAATATGAATCATCCGGTCTTTGGCGAGCCATATTATCATATTCAATTCTAATCTCTTTAAGGGCATCTGATAATTCGTTATGGAAAATGTTTCTGTATTGATCAGTATCATCTTTCAAAAATTTATCCAACAATTCTTTCAATTCCTTGATAATAAATAAAAATTTATCCCATTAATAATTTTAATATATATGCTATCACTTCTGAATTTCTCTCATATAATATAATACTAAACAAAAAAAACTTTCTTAATATCTTTCAAATACAATTGAATAATATAAGACGCCGCTGGTAATTAATAGTCAATTGTTGGCAGGTCTCTTAGAAATGACCATAAAAACCTTTATCAATATTTTTAAAAATTGATAAAATTAGTTATATGATATATGTATTTTAAAGATAAAACGAAAACGAAAACGAAAAACCAAGGCCACCTAACATATTATTTTTAAAAAAATAGAAAAAGATATAAATCCAAATTAAGTTAAATTTTGTCTTTTTAAAAAAATAAATACTATTTTATAATACTTATTAGGCCAAAAATAAAAAAAAATATGACCTTAAACAGTTATGTAAGGTTATAAAAGTGTATTTCTTGAGGATTTTGTATTTTTGGTAAATTTATAGAACAATGCGATTTTTTTAAAAAAATGGTTTGGTTTTTATTCACCTGTTGATGCACTTGATTTTGGTATACAAGGTCTTCTTCGAAAGCTTGTATCTTACTGTCTAAATCTGCTCTAAGCATTCTTTCTTCATCAGTGTTCTAAAGTAAATATTCGAAAAATTGATTTTAAATTATGGAAATCAATTTGATAAATATCATAAGACTCACCATTTGAACATTGCCTAGTTGAACTTGGAGTTGGTGTATTTCCTTCTTATACCTATTTAAATCGCATTCGATGGCCTCCAGCTTTTTTGTTAAAGCCTCCATTTGCCCTAATTTCATAGCTAATTCAACTTCGATATCAACTAGGTGAGTTTTATCATTTTCCCTTAGCTGAAAAACTTCCCCATACCTTTAAAAAATGTTAAATTAATGTTATAAAATGGTTTTTAAAAAGATAAGGATTATACATTCAACGGGATAAAATACTAAATAAAAGACTCCCAGATAGGACATTTGACAAAAATACCTATGTACATACTAGGAGGGGGGAATTATGTGGGGGCGAGTGTAACTCTTCCGAAGGATAACTGTAATCGAAGCGTTATAATAAAATTTCAAAAAGTGAGAATCGAATCGTTATAAATATTAACCGGTAGGGTTACAAGTGTTTATTTACAATGATTAGAGCTTTATTAATTTAAAAAAATATATAAATTTATATGGACATGAATTTTTAAAACAGAAGCCGGAACGAACCAATATAAATTTGTTCAAAAATAATCGGAATAAAATTTTATACCGATCAAATTCAAAAGAAACTCTAAAAAAAATGTATATTTGGCTAAGAGTAGAGCAAGAAAGATGTCTGAAGAAATATTCGAATAACCATCATGGAAGTATACTTATCGAAATTTAATCATAATGATACTTTATAAAGTTCTTTTTTTTTAAATTGAAGGAAATTAAAAATATGTTATGAAATAGAGAGAATAGGGTTCGAATCAGGGTTCATAGATAAAAAAAAAATTTTTAAAAAGGATTCTGTGACAAAAATAAAACTATATATAAAAGGGAGCCGGAAGGAAGAACTGAATTTCGGAAATTCGGTTAAAATGACTCCACAAAAAAATTTTTTTTTATAAAAAATTTTTCTTAAATATAATTTTTATTTTGATACCTAGAAAAATAGAGTTCGGGTTCAGCAAAAAGATAAAATTCAGGGTTCGGGTTCACATACATGTATGTAGGTAAATTAACATATTTTTAGCATTTAATCTAATTTATCTTATATTTATATAACCAAATCATAATTTATGTATAACATAATATTTTAAACCTAATCAAAGTTGAAAAAATTAACGACGCCAATATATACAAGCATAAAGCAAATTTTATCAAAAACCTATTTATAATATTTTCGATGCAATTACTTTAATTAGCTTGAATAGTTTAATGATGTGGTCAAAACATGAATAAAATTATACAAAGTTTTGAATTTATACAACTGAGTTCAGCCTTTTTTTTTAAATTATAATATACCAATGGCGTTGTGGAAAAGGGATAAAATTATGCCCAACGCGTCTAAATTTAATTAGAGAACGCCAAAAAATATTATCTAATTGAGCCAAACGTTTCCGCCTAAATATTTATTTTTAATTTCCAGCACCTCTTAAATCATAAGATTGACTATGCTAAAGCCAAAGAAAATTTAAATGCAATAATAAAAAAATATTATTATGAATAATGGTTATTAATTATGACCTAAATTGTAATTATTGACTTTTTAAAAATATAATAATTTTGTATAATGTGGTACGAATTCTAAGTTTCGTCAAATATCATCTCTATTTTTTCAGTTATAAGAAAGAAAAAAAAAATTTACTTTCATTTTGGCAATTATTTAATGGTTGACGCTTATAATATCGATTTTTTTTATTTGATGTTAATATCCTCAAGGAAAAGGTTGTTTTTATATGTGCATAATATATTTTATATATAAAACAAAATATTTTCAACAGACATTCTAATAAAATTAATGTATTCTATATATACAAAATACATACATAATAAATTATATACTTTGAAAATACTGTAATGATGAGTCATTTCTTAGGAAAATAGATAATTTGGATTGTAGGTATTTTGTTGAAATTTATAATAGTCGTCTTAATCTCAATGTAAACTTATTTTATCTTTCCCGGCCTGAAAAATTAATCCACCATAATGATCTCAGGCCCACGATCGTTTCTTAGATGATGCAACCAACAAATGGATAATACCTTTTAACACTAATTTACGATCAATTATCACTCATAATAATTTTTCACACCCTTAATATTGAAATACCAAACCGATATATTGCCAATTCACCTTTAGATTGCACTCAACTTCTTCAATCAACTGACAGATTTGGTGGTTATGAATGGTTAGAATCACTAGTCGTCAGACTAACAATTGATGCCATTGGCTTTCTTATAGATTAAGCAAATCACCAATTGATTCAAAGAGTAAGCGCGGCCTCAATTTTATATACAGTCATAGCGACACCATCCCCATGCAACAAATCATGCTATAGAAATTTAACAGCCCACAATTCCGAACTATCTTGAGCTAACGAATTCATCTCACCTACTTAAGACCTGATAGTACGACAACTAAACCTTGAGAATGAAAATCCAATTTTTTTAATATTTAAATCAAAACTAAATCCAAATTTTAAATATATAATATAAACCTGTTTAAATTTAATTACATAATTATAAAATTTGTTTTTTGTTATATAGTTTATACAAGGTTAAATATTAAATAATCAAAATTGAAAATTGATAGTATACTAAATCTACTGACATAAGCAAATATTTTATGGTTGAATATACTTTATAATAATTTAATCTTCGTTGGTAAATAGTATTATTTCTATAATATCAAATATTATAACACCAAATTGGATTTGAATTAAGATTGTTAAACTTAATTCACCAAATTGGATAAGAATCAAGATTTAGTAAAAAAAAGTTAAAGTGGGAAATTATATACTTGTCTTTCCAGTCGCGTAAATTATCGTCTAATTTTGAGCGTTTATCTTCAAGTCTTTCTCTTTCACGAATGTTCTCATCTGTTACTTTTCGGGCCTGGTTGAGTTCGGCCTCGAACATGCCTCTCAGCATATTGGAGATACGTTCGAGTTTTTCACGGTAAAGTCCGATGTCAGCAGCAAGTTTTTTATTTTGGGCCTCGAGAAAGCGAACGTTTTCGATATAATGGGCTAAGCGGTCGTTAAGGTCTTGTAAATCCTTCTTTTCTTTTTCTCGCGAAGCCACAACAGTGGCGATGGTTGTGTCCCCTGATTCTGTATGTATCATCGTATTCGAGAGACCGCTTTGAGGAAAGCGTCTTGGGCTCAACATACGTCCACCTCCAGCACCTCCCCCAAAACTTTTAAACGTGCTGGTGGTACGCGTGTATCCACCACCTCCACCACTGCCAAGGAAAGATGTCGGTGATCCCGACCTCACCACTACGGCGCGGCGAGGAGTTATGCTCGATCGGTATGTTCGACTTTCTTCGATCGTGTGGCTGCTGCTCTTCGATTTTGACATTTTATTTTGTTAACGTTGCGCTGGTAAAATATAAAATTATTAATTATTGATAGTAAACTTTTCTAGCCCACAATTAATTTATTTATAGAGCTGTAAAAATATTCAAGTATTCGATGTTAATTTATTTTATAATATATAATATATTAGTTTACAACAAGCAAGGGTAAGAACAAACCTATTTTATATCATATCGATTTATACTAATTTTACCAACTCAAAATAAATTCATTCGCGTTAGAGTTTGAATCAATAAATTTTAGCTTCCAATTTTTTAGATGATAATGTTATTTTATTTATTCAGCAAGTTATTAGCAAAAATTGGTGAATACCTAAAACATTTATGTTTATTTATTTTTAATGATTCTGTAATATTTTCAGGCTAAATTTATAATTCAAATCATATCTCTAGTATAACAAAGACAATCATAAAGTTTTTAAGATTTCGTTTTTCATAAGGTAATTTTTTTGTTATCTTATTAATTTGTTTTATTCAAAGGTTATCCATTCTTTTATAATATATTATCTATTTTTAAAAAACCCTATTCAAAATTCGTATAAATTCTATTAGCAAAAGCATTCTTCTTTTTGTAAAATATCGTCTAAAAATATACAATACTTTACTTGTATTTTTAAAAGTATATTCAAATAAAATTAAGGATATTTTTAAAATATTTTTGCAGAGGGAATCGTTTAAATCGAGAATACAAGATTTCAAGGATACGAGAGAAAACATAAACAGGAACAACAAGTTTGAATACATTATAGTTGATTTTAATCCTAAATATTCATTAAAAACAAATTAGATTATAAATCAGTTGGCCCGGAAGAAAGGTATTTTTATGTTCCTATTTGATAACCGGAACATTCAGAAAAGTTCGGTTTCTTAGTCCATAACTTAAGTAAAATTTATAAAAAAATTTTAATAAAATTTTACCTGAATAACAAATTAAATCCTGAACCAAATATAAAAGTAGATATTCGCAAATGTTTTTTATATAAATAATTGGATTCTATAATCAAATTTAAATATTTTTTTATTTAAAAGTGTATGTTTTTTTAAATAAGTAAAAGAAAAAATTTAATCTAATTTTGGACTTTTTTATACTCTGAAAAAAAGTAAAAACAAAAAATAGTAATAATTAATATTGTTAATAAATAATAATAATAAATAATGTTAATAAATTTTAACGTAAAATAATAATAATTTATTATTAAAATATTTGTTTTTTTAAATATTTTTTCTCACAAATTTTTTTTTTTTGGCGAAGGATATTTACCTTTTGCAAATAAAAAAATATATAATTTTTATTACCTGTAATAAGGTAAGTAGAAAAAATTTTTTTAGCAACATTCTGTTTTATTTTTTTTAATTTTTATTATTTTACATGTAGCTCATAAATATTATTTTTTTTTAGTTTTGATATTTTGAATGGTAATAATAATATAATACCTTTACATACCTGCCAAAATAATTAAAAAATTAGCCTATCCGTAAAGATAATTATTTGGAAGACAGAATAAAATTATTATTTAATATTATTTATGTGTTTGTTTAAAATAATTTTTTTATAAAGTTTGCATAAAATAAGCTATTTTCATATTTATCGCTTATTATGGTTTGAAGGACAAATTTATTTTGATTATATTTTTTTAGATTTTTTTAGTATATTTATTATTTTAAATATATATTTTTTTATTATAAAAATATAAATAATAAATCAAGGATTTAATTAAAATCACACAATATATGGGAAGAACGTTGTATTTCAAATAAATTTATCTTTTTACAACTAATAATTATGTTATGCAAATAATATTTTTTATTTTATTTAAAAAGCGAATCCTCATGAATCACTAACTTAATATTATTTTATTTAATCGATTTTAAGTCATAAATTAAATATTCTATTAAACAATCATCTTTGCACTCCATTCCTTTATTTTAAAAAAAACCCCCTTTGAATATATTTTTAAGTTAAAATTAATTATAAATATGTTATATTTTTGTGTTATAAATAGTATAACTTTAAAAAATATTATAAGTTTAGTCTCATTTACTGTAAGTGCGTGGCAAGACATCACTCGTCCTAAAATTTATTCCAGCAGTGTTATCATTTAGCGAGGTGTAGGGGTTAAGGGGCTAAGTTGATACTTATTATCGATGTAGCTGATCCAAGTTTGAATTTCAGTAAAGCAAATTTTTTTGCCGAAATGAATTTGTGGAATTAAACTAATTAATCATCAATCAATAGATATAAGTTATTACTTGATTTCCAAACCTATGGCATAAATAGGCCTGATGTGGGTCTGGATTAGAATTTGGCAATTTTGACCATAGGCAGAGTTGGAGGTCCTCCGGGAAAAAATTTAGATATAAATTATTTATAAAAAATGGATCTTAGATATAAATACTAGTATCGAATTCAAAAAGATAGAAGATAAAAGATGCTTGTATCTTTTGCTAAATGAGTGTACAAGATACTTTCATAAAATTATCATTACCAATTAAATTAGTATAAATAACATACATATAATAAGAATGAATACTTATAATATTTAATAAAGAGTTAATTATAATAATCAGGCCTTATAATATTAGTTTTAGTCCATTCATGGCATAGACATGAAAGGAAAACTAGTATTTAATGGGAGTTGAAATATTAATTTGCAAAAGAGTATTTAAAGTAGATTAAATCAAATCAATATTTTTTAAGGTAATCAATTTTTCATAACTATTTGCCGTTTCAGCGTATTTAACATTGTGCAAAAACTGTAACCTTTCAACTGGATCTGATGAAGGTATTTCAATATTATATTATAAAAAAAATTCTTAATAGAAGGATAATAACTATGCATTTCTAATGTATTTCAACAGTCTATAATATAATTTAAAACCTCCAGCTTAATGTTATCTATATTATTGAATTCATAACATTTATTTTACCAAAAGAAAAATATTAGATGTTTAATCTATTGGTGTTATAGTTTGAGCTTGATTATAGATACTGAGTTCAAGTTACAAAAGGATCTTGTGTCTTAGATACAAGTATTCGCGGTACTGTCCAACTACGGCCATAGGTAGAGTTGATTGGTCAGATCATCCATCATTATATCTTAAAGAGATTCCATTAACTACTGAAAACAAAAGAAGAAAGTATTGATAAAGAACATGTCTACCACAAAAATTCATTTATACTTTTGTAAATGAGTATTAGTTTATTTAAAACAACCTTTTAAATCTTATAATAAAAGCCCCAAATTATTTTTTAATGTAATACAAAGTATTTGTATTACATAGATAATAACATTATTGATTTTTTTTAAAGATTCGTAAAGTTTTATTTTAAAGACGTGTTTGAAATATAAATTATAACAATTTTTAAAAAAGAAAAAAACGTTAAAATCTCATAATGTAAAGGGATGATCAATAAGGACTATTGGGATTGAGGATTAACGGCCAAGTCTAGCCTAACCTAAGGGTAAAATGTATCTACTTCTTATATTTATTTGTAGTGGCCCCGCTATTTTATGAAAATAGCATACCATAACGATAAAAGCTAGAGGTCCCTGAAAACCGATATTGAATTGAGTTTTCTCATAATAATTTATTTTATCTTATATATAGTAAGTTATTCATGTTTTATCATCCTCATAATATGATTATTATAGTTTTATAATGTTTCTTTATTTTCTCGTTAAGAATTACAAAAATAAAAATGAAGATCATTGGGAAGCATATAAATTATGAAATTATGAATATTGAGTGACGGGGGGTCGCTAGCTCTTAATATTTAGGCGTGATAGTTAGGAGCTCAAGAAATATTTTTTTCAAATAGACATTTTAGATCGTTTTTCCTCTCCCCTAGCAGGCGTCACTCAAGAATATCATTATATTATTTTATAGTATTATTATACTAAATGAATTATAACACAATATCATCTTTCCACCAACTAAATATAATATAATAATTTTCTTTATAATGAATGAAATTATTAGAACTAATTTTACAATTGAATATATGTATACATTTATTTAAAAAGAAATAATTATATTAAACTCAAAATTATTTTCTTTATTTTGTAATATAGTTATAATATACTACAAGCCATTCTGTCTATGTCCATATTAATATGTTAGTAGGACACGATGACAAGATGATTGCAAGCCCTTAATATTTATTATAAAAGTGAATATTTTATTTTAATTCGATGAGAATTTTTGAAAAAAAAATTATTTTCTACATGGATGATTATTAATCAATCTATTTACAAATATGATAAATATAATATTTTGAATAGTTTTATTAATTTATTATAGAGATCTGCAAGATCCACTTAACCACCCCCCCCCCTCAAAAGCTATACTCACGGACCCGACCGGGAAAACTAAAAAAATATAATGGGGCGGGTTGGAAAATTCATGCATAAAAAAGTGGGCCGGGGCTCGAAAATCTCTCATTTTATTTGGTCAATATTCTTTGAAAAACAACAATGAGTTTTTCATTTTATTTAAATCAGAGACCTGCATAGGTACCATTTGCACGGCCATGCCCGGCCCTGATTTTTTTTCAAAAATTTTTAGGCCCGGCCCGGGTTTATTTAAAAAAATTAAAATACGTGCCGGGCCTGCAGGTCTTTGTTGAATCTATAAATAAAATTTAAAAAATTTATTTTCCAATTTATAAAAAAATTATAGGCGAGCCGGACATTTCGTAATGGGCCAGCTATGATAGTAAATTTTATATATTTATTCGAATTTAAAGCTAATAATACTTTGACTTTGATTAGTATTAATTGAAAATAATTTACAATATGCCTATTTCTTTGTTTAAGAACTGGCTAATTAAATTAGTATATTCACAAAAAATAAAGGTTATTTTATATGATCCGTTTCCAATAGCATATACACAATAGAGATATCAAAATACAATTGATTTATAAAATGGATTTTATAGAATTATAGATAGCCATAGAGTTAGGGATATAAGAGCTTTAAATGACACTAGTGAAAAATTATATACATTAAAAATGTGATAGCGTGAAAATTTTTACAACAAAATTTAACGGGCCAAACTTTTAGTAAAATTTTAACGGACTGGGCCTGAGTTTGTAAAATTTTAATGGCCATGTTAACACAGAAAATTAGTAAAAAAAATTTAACGAGTTAAAACGGGCCGGAGAAACAGTTAAATAACCACAGGGCCTGGGCAGTTTATGTAAAAAAAAACTTGAACAGCCGGGGACTTGCAAATCTCTGATTTGCTAATGAATCAATACTTTTTGACTCTTATAAATATGAATATATAAATATTTAACTAATTATATACTATAAGTAGGTGGCGCTTTTATTCATATAAATTTGTGAATATTTTTTAGTGGACTCAATTTGGCAAAATAAAATTAAGAAAAAGACCTTGTAAAAAATCAGGACGGTAAAATAATTATATGATGTATATAATATAATTATCGTTAAATAAACTTTTTTTAGAAAAATAAAATAAAAGACATTAAAATTAAAATATGTATTATTATTATTATTATAATCTATATTATATTATAGAAAGCAAGCTTTTTACACTATCTCATTAGCATAATATAAAAAATTCTATTTTATAGGTATGACTATGTCTTCTATAACAAAATATTATTATATTTATTATGTTTTTAGAAGGCAATTTTATCATATTTGGACGTCCTTTGTAAAATATCTGTAATATCAATATGATATATTCATATTATTGTATAAATAAAAAAATTTAATAACCTTTAAAAAAAGAATTCTCGATTTCAAATTATTAGAAGGTCCAAACTAATTAACTAACCTAAACGAAGGATTAGGTTTCGTTATATAACTGTTTATATAATTATATTTTGTTTTAAATATAGTTTATTTATTGTTATTTTGTAAGTTATATCCAATATATTATGCATTTAAAAATAAATTTATGCAATTTAATTATTTTTTTTTATTTGTTTTTTATACCATTATATTAGGAATATCTGGAATTGTGTATAGCAGCTAGTCTAGTGGATTATTTTAGTTACGCTTTCTTTGAGTAGTGATTTATTAAAAATTTGAAATAAGGCAAAAATCC